CCCTTAGCCCGCCCCTCAACCTCAGGTTGAAAGTCGCCCCTTAATGATGGACATCCTCTTCCCTTCAGCACTGCCATGATTACTCTTTCATGTTTTAAATGTGATCTGTATTGTTAACACGGTATTCCATATGCAAGCTAAAGCTCATGGCATTGAAAGACTGATTCCTTAATTTCCCTGCCCGTCTCTTGCCTATCAGCCCAGCAGTAAGCACTGCTGACTCCTTTTCCTGTCTCTTCTAGTGTTTGCTTCTGTATTTTACAAATAATGTCTACATCGCTGTTTGATGATTAATTCCAGGTCTCTTTTGACTTCTTGTTGAATAGGATTTAACTCTCGGGCACCTGGATGGTTCAGTCAGTTAAGCGTCTGCCTTTGGTTTGGGTTGTGATCCCAGGGTCCTGGGATGGAGCCGCACTTTGGGCTCCCTGCTCCTCGGGGAGCCTGCTTCCCCCTGATCCTGCATGCTCGCTCTCTCTCTCTCTCTCTCAAATAAATAAATAAAATCTTAAGAAAAGAAAAAAAAAGATTTAACTCTCATTCTCCTCCTCATGTTCCCCGCTTCCCTTGTCCTCTTCATACCATCATATCGGATTTTCTGGTGCCATCATCAGTCAGTGTTTACTTTTTTTTTTTTTTTTAGTCAGTGTTTACTTTTGAGTGAGTATTGGTCAGTGTAGAGCTCTATGATATACATTCTCTTGTACGGTGTTTGGTGTTTGATTTTTTTCCCAGCAAACATTTGCCTTGCTCTTTCAGCTGCCAAGTTTTTATCTGTTACCTAAGTCCCCATCCTTTCTATGTGGCTATTAGATCTGTCAACCACCTACCAATATTATTTTCCAAGTGTTTGGCTCTGTCAGGTCATCTGTCAGTTCTCTTTCTTTCCTAGGGCTTCTCCTTCCCCTGCCCCAGGGTGGACGAGGTGCACACAGCCATCATCCTGGCTACTGGTTTCATTTTAACGTACCTCGCCTTGTTAGGATGTGGGAGCCAGCAGGCAGACTTCTGGTGCAATTTACCTCGTGTCTCTTATTGACCCCCCATTTTGGACCCCCAAATCTCCAGGAATGGTTCTTTGAGAATCTGATGAAAGCTCCGAGCACTCTTCCCAGGAAAATAGTTGCACAAACACAAAATTTGGCATGTCATTTTGTGAATGTCTGAAAACACATATGTAACTTACCTATAATACTTTGGGGGATGTAATCTTAGCAACTGTAGAGTTCAAATAAGGCTTTAGTGCCTAAGCTCTAATAGTATAAGTCCAACTCTATCGTACCCGAAAATATCCTATTTTTACCAATAAATAGTTCTTTTCTCTTGAGCATTTTATCATTTCTTAGTATTTGATGGAATGAAATTTTAATCCCTTGTGGATGTATGGCCAGCTAGAATCACTTCTCTGTTCCATTTTGCAACCTTTGATGTTAATTTATTTCTCCCTCCAACTGTTCTTTATATTGATGTAGCTGGGAAAATGAAGTTTGCTCTGGTAACACTCTGAGTATTTGTTGAGTTGAACTGAAATGATTGAGGAGCTGCCTTCCCACAAGCATACTGTAACCTAGCACGATAACTCCCAATTAAAGAGACACTACAGACAGATTCTAATCTTCCTAATTAACAGCTGCCTTCTGGGGTCACTGGCAAGAGGGATTTTTCCGTCTGCAAGGAAGAAAGTTACACTATCACACAGTCACTCTGTTAAGCTCCTATTAAGACAAACTCCAAGGGACTGTATGTACTTAGATTAGAATTTCACTGTATTGAATATTGCTTGAAGTAAAGTGGTCTGTGGCTGAGGTCTGTAATGTGCCTGTGTTTGCCTACTCATTGAGTAGCTGCCATGTACCAGATAGTGACTTTAGTTTGAAGTAGGATATGACCTATGTTCTTAGTCCTCAGAGATTATTTTTTAGCCATTCATTGTGAGTGACTAAATTCTGAAAAGTGAAAGACGGAGTTTAACTAAATGCCAACTTTTAAAAATGTCAAAATAATCGGATTTCCACCACTTTTGTTATATGGCATATTAATTGTAATGTTCTATCTTAATTGAGTTGTTTTCTCAGATTTCCAAGTACTTCATTGATCTTAGTAGAAGAGGACAATAGGGAGTGTTTTTAGTCAGTATCGACAGACTGAAATAGAAAAAGTATGGCGGCTTATGTCACCAGCCCTTCCTTGAAATCGTCAATAATATTACCATCATTTAGATTTTAAAAAAAGAAGACGCTGTCGCTTGAGAATGTGAAACTGATTCTGTTTGGACAACTTTTAGTGAAAAAAGCGTGAGGTACCGGGTGAAGACTGTTCTTCAGTCAGCTTTTAGTATGTGGTGGTGAGAAAGCAAAGACAGGCGGGGCTCTCAAAAGCCCTGGTTAAAGGACAGACTCATTACCAGGCATCTTGACTTGGTAAAGGGTCCAAGGCTATAGAATATTTGAGACAAAAGGCCAATATTGGGATGTTAAAATACCGATGTAAAGTGAAACTTTAAAACAAGTTTGAAGGGGCACCTGGATGGCTCAGTCGGTTAAGCGTCTGCCCTCAGCTCTGGTCATGATCCCAGGGTCCTGGGATGGAGCCTGGCGTCGGGCTCCCTGCTCAATGGGGAGCCTGCTTCTCCCTCTGCCCCTCCCCCCTGCTTATGCTCCCTCTCTCTCTCAAATAAATAAATAAAATATTTTTATAAATAAATAAAAGAAGTTTGAAGATAAATCGCAAGAAACAGTAACAAACTAACTCAATGTGAAAGCAAGTCTATTTTGACAAACAAAAGGCAAAGTTACAGTATTTTTTTTTCTTTTTTTAAAAAAAAGTTATGTTTAGGGGCGCCTGGGTGGCTCAGTTGGTTAAGCGACTGCCTTCAGCTCAGGTCATGATCCTGGAGTCCCGGGATCGAGTCCCCTCTGACCCTCCCCCCTCTCATGTGCTCTCTCTCTCTCATTCTGTCTCAAATAAATAAATAAATAAAATCTTAAAAAAAAAAAAAGTCATGTTTAATCTTCTGTGTGCATTTTGTAGAATCTGAGTGTTGTATTTTGCTCAGGAAAGAGAATAAATTGGATGCAGTGGCTGATTTCAGTCCCTTTTAAGTAGCTCCGTTGTGTTTTAGGATAATCTCTCCAAGGATAATGATAGATATGAATCCGTTAATTGTTTAATGAGGCTGAGGAGCATAATGCTGAAGCTCGGTCATGCAAAATTTAATATTTCTAGCATTGATCACAGCTGTTGCCACTGGTTAGAAGTTACCGTATCTCATGTGCACACACGCACGCACACACCAGTGTGCAGACGCAGGGAGGGGAGCAGTGGCTTTGTTGTAGAGAATACGCTTTTCTCCCCGGTCAGGCTGAGACCCTCATGGAGACGCTGCTGCCAGATGCTAGGTAAAGCGCCCTCAGGTGGAAGACAGGGCCGTGTTCATGCTCTGACCCTCACCCCTCTGTCATCGGGGTCCCAGCGGGTGCTCTGCCTTCAGGCTTCCCTCCCTTTGCCTGTGCACTTGCCGGTCTACCCGAAGTGCCTCCTCTTCTCTCTGGGCCTGATCCCTCTTCCCGAGACGCCTGACGTCGTTTTCCCTGTGTGTTCTTCTCTGACACCTTGTTCACACCCATGCATTGATCATGCCCCATTTTACTGGCTTCACCTCCAGTCCTCTGTTAAATTATTCCTTATGAAACCTTCTCTGTTCAAATGACTGGGTGGTTGCTGTCTCCTAATTGGACCCTCATCAGTGTCGGCGTCCTCTGCCTGGAACGTCGAATGCACATACAGAATCACCCAGGCCCCGCCCAGGCGATGCCTCACTCATTCATTCCACCAACATCTGAGCTCCTACTGTTGGATAGGCACTGGGCCCTACTCCGGGGTTAAGTAAGACCGGGCTTGAGCCCAACAGGAGCTCCGAGGCTAGGAGAAGAGAAGAGTAAGTCGTCAAGTGTGTCGAATTAGAGAGGTAGGAGTGTGTGTGTGTCTGTGATATTGTTGGGGGAATAGAATAAAACAGAAAACTTAAAAAGAAAATTTGAGTGTTGTGCCTCTGGGAGCTGAAAGGATAAATAAATGAAAATGCAAGAAATTGATAAATATTTACTGCTTTCAGTGTAAGTGATGCCCATAATTTTGTTTTATTCTTTTCCATTTGTGAATGTTCTTTCTCTTTGCGCAAAGCACTTGAGGTGGGTAAGGTTTTCATTCATCTCATCTCTGTTCCTAAGGGCAGGAACTGTCCTTTATCTTAATCACCTTGTACCCATAATGCCTCTCATCTAGTAGGTGCATAATAAATGGTAGGTGACTGAAGAAAGGCTAACTATATTGAGTTCATATTCCCTGGTTTGTTTTTTACTCCAAATCAGTCAGTGTTTTCTTATGTTGACAGTTCAGGAACCATTCCAAGCACTTGTTTTGGGGCTTGAGGTGTGAACAGGAAGGGTCAATCAACTCGAGTGCTTGTTCTCGTTTGTTCCTCTTCAGCCATTTACAGATAATATCGATCATCTCAGGTGTGCGTTAAGCAGTGTTAAATACTTTGTAGACCTCTAATTCTCTGGTGTCCCTGTATGACAGGTGTAGAAATTGAGGTTAAGTAAGTTGCTCAAGGCTACGCCGAGAAAATGTGGCCGATGTCACCCTGAGTGGTTCCCGTGGTCAGTCAGGTGCCCGCCCTGCTCATGTGCACACATAGACCTCACCCAGAAGCCTTTTTTCCTCTCGAGAGACACCGTCGCCTCCTTCCTAGTCCTAGAGACACAGCCCTGTGGCCCTCCAGGCACCTTGACGTCCAGGCACATGTGAACAGGGGTTGGGAAACCTGGAAAGGGCCAAAAGTCTCTTCCCATCTTCTCATCGAAGTGTAGCCACTTGCTGGCGAGTTGAAATTTGGCCAACGTTTCTTTGCATGAAAGGTCCGTTGAAGTGAAAGCTCAGGGGGAATGTCTGTGCACTTTTATTACACACTAACCCTCGTCCGCTCTGTTGCTTCCCAGGTGCTCTTACCTCCGTACGATGACGCTGCTGTGAACAGCGCTGCTAAGGAGCCGCCACCACCTTACGTGTCCGCCTGAGCCCGCGAGTGGGGGGCCCGAGAACAGCAGCTTGATTTCCAGACGTCAGAGCGATAGTTCTTTCTTTGCACTTCTGGGATGAGCTCTCTGAGCTTATTTGTTGCTGAAATGCTCCAGTTTTTAAATGTAGATGTTAAGTTGAAACCCTCTTTAGTTTTAAGCATATGCTTCGCTAGAGCACGGTGATAGACTCACTGTAGAGTTCTCTGGGGCGGGGGGTGGGGGGGCGCAGTGGGCTTCCCTTGTCTTCCCGGGGGTTCCCTAGGCACTGAACCTTCCCAGCAATCTCGATGAGCCCGGAGTCAGAGAAGTCTGGTTTTGTCCCTCCTGGGCCTCGGAGTCAGGGAATTCATCACATTTTCCCCCTGTGTTCCCTCTTATCTCTTTTGGAAAGTGTAAAATAAAATCAAAATTAGAGAATGCTTTTCTTAAGCCATTCCAGTATTTGAACAAACCCTTCAAACCTTACAGAACAGGCATATCAATTGTGTGATCCTTGCTCTAATTAGGGAAATAGGAGTCCATATCTATATAAATAAAACAAGAATTTCCTCAAGATTCTTTATGACTTAAATTCAATGACAGTTTGTATTTGCTGTTCAAGGATTTTGTCCACGGGCGGAATTGAGACCCTTCCACAATCCCAGGCGGTGACCGCGGCCACTCTCCGACGGCTGGTCTTGAACGCCCTGTGTCTGGGGTCACGGGGTGGCGTGTGCTGCCTGTGTTACAGTCGTGGAGCAGATGCGTTTCGTACCGCTTGGTGCTCCCTTCCTCCCGGTTTCCCATGCCCACCCAGGACCCTTTTCACTAAAGATTTGCGTAAGAGTATGAAAAAAAGGTCTTCTCTCCCTGCAAGGCGCATCCTACCATTTTGAAATTCCAAGTATGCTCAGACACCTGTTCAAATGTAAAACGGTCTTCAGAAAGGTGAGGAGGGGTGCTTTTCTTGTGGAATGCTCTTATCTCGCCCACCTGAATTTCAAGGAACTTTCATATATTCACATGGTCAAAAGTCACAGCTCTCCTGTCTGTTCATTGTTGAGTGTGCTGTAAATGAAGGCTTTGCAATTAAAGTGAGATTTGCCCACATCTGAGAACGTAACCTTGTGACTCTGTGATCATGCCTGGGGACCCTTCCCACCCACATGTGGCCGTGCAGACACAGAGTTTGGCCCAAGGAGGCAGCTTTACAGCTTGTTTCACACATGTGTGTATATAGACATTTTTTTCTGTTTCAGTGCTGATAAAATCAGAGCATCTTAGGCCAAGAGAAATGGAGCCGAACAGATGGGAGCTTCCAACATTCCTAAACCCCACCCCTGCCAAGCTCTGTGTGCTCAGCTGTTTTGCATACGGTTGCTTTATGTCCTCGGTGTGCTTTTAATAAGCATTCGGATTTTACTCCATTCCAAGGGAGATTAAATAAGGGAGGTAGGAGGGGGGGATTTTTATCCCTGAGAATCCGCCTCGGTGATTTCTTTTGGTAGACCTCATTAGTATTCTTTATAAACTCAACCTAGGAAATTCTCTTCCTGGAAGCTTTGTACCCATAAGAATCACAGTAAGTTAATCATATTAAAAGGTGTTAGGAATGGAAGAGGCCTCTCGGACAGTTTCACTGATCTCTGGAAGGCATCACAGTTGCTTGCGTGGACCTCCCTGTGATTTTCCAGCCCTCTAATAATTTTTGTGGTATGAAAAATGGCACATGGTTAAGTAGAAGTGCTGATTTCGAGTCTGTGTGGCGTCCTCCGAGGGACTGTTGTGCATGTAACGCTCAGACCACACCACAGACACCAGAATACCCCTTAATTCTCAGGGGTCCCATCTGGAACTGGCGAAGCGGCCTTTCCTAACCTCTACAGCATAACCCGGGCTGTGTGCGAAAGCCGCCTCCATAGTTAGAGTAACGGACTGTCCTCTCAACTCCACCCGCGGGGAGGTTGTGATGTGTGTGTTAAAATGACCCTGCAGGGCCCATTCCATGACTCAGCAATTCACTCTGTCTTTATCTCATCACTAATCCAATTAAATACCTCTCTTAAATGTATTTTAAATCCAGCTTTCACATCTGACCCCTTTCTCCCCTATTTTGCCATCTGCAGTCATTCCCTCACTTGTCCCCGTTGCCTGTACGCCTCTTGGTCACTTTACTGATGAGAGCACCTCAGGCTTTTTCATCTTGACCACCCTCCCAAGATCCTTATGACCAGATCTTGGGTGTTCAGCCGAGTGCCTGAAGGTGTGCAAATGGACCCACCAAGTGGCAGCCCATGTAGGAGAGTTTTAAGTGTGTCTCTGGGCCAGAGGGAACAGGAAGCTGACACCTTTTGGCTTAGATGTGGTCTGTCCACCCTAGGAACCGAGCTTCCGTTGAACAAGCTGGTCAGATTTCCAGAATGCCCAGCCATATGGAAGAGTTTTAAGGCCAACAGACTTGCCCACCCCTTCCTGTACCTTCTTCCAACACAAACCTCATGTACAGTATCTCCTCCAAGTCTGGTGTCCTTGTCCCTGCCCCCACCCTGTCTTATTGTTCTCTGAGAATGCAGGAAACATTCCCCCCTCCCGTCCTTTTTTGCCCCACCCTGCCTTTTTTTTTAATTACTCTGTTCTGGCCCTAAATATTTGTTTAGTTGGACTGCTTACCCAAACCACTCCTCATTTCATGCGTCTTTTCTCTCTCAGTTCGTTAACAATGCTTCTTGGTAATGACCTCACTAGACCATCTGTATAGACACTGTCACCATTAGAGTTGTTTTCTCCATAGAGGGATGCATTGTATTTGAAATAGTCATCCTTTGAGACTAAAATCCTGCTGTGCAAACGGAGCTTTTCTGATCAAGGAAAACCAATGACACTGTAAAAATATTTCCATTTCTTGAAGAAGAGGTGCAGTTTTTGCAACCCATTTAGAAACCGACTTAGGGGCGCCTGGGTGGCTCAGTCGGTTAAGCGACTGCCTTCGGCTCAGGTCATGATCCTGGAGTCCCGGGATCGAGTCCCGCATCGGGCTCCCTGCTCGGCAGGGAGTCTGCTTCTCCCTCTGACCCTGCCCCTCTCATGCTCTCTCTCTCTCTCTCTCTCTCTCTCATTCTCTCTCTCAAATAAATAAAATCTTTAAAAAAAAAAAAAGAAACCGACTTAAATATCATTAAATAATATTGCTGCTGGTTATGTAGGCAGTCTAATCTTCTGGAGGGGAGAGGGCATGTGTCTTTGCCAGAGCATCAAAAGGATCATGCAAAGGGACTGCCAACGTCAAGTGCAGGCTCAGCCCTCCCAGGGCTCCGCACCTTCAGCCCTAACATGCACCAAACACCGTGCCTAGAGCTGTATAAAGTGGGTTTTTTGGTAGCTCGGACTGAAAGGGAAGGAAAAGGAGGCTTTGCAAGGTTGCCTCCATACCCATGGAATTCACTTAAAAGTGTCTCTGCACACTGGCCAAGTTTTCTGCCAAATGACTCTGGAGTATGGAAGCCAATCAGATCGGTGACCTGCCCAGAAGCCCACGCATGCCTATTGGTGACTATAGCACCCAGACATCAGAAGAGAGAAGCTGTCATTGGCCAACCCAGAAAAAATTACATCAAGGCAAAAGCCTCAGCACTATCCACGCATCGATGTGATCCTAATTAGCAAGAACAGCTGCTGCTTCAGAATGGGGAGTTTGGCTTAAGACAGCATAATGCACTCAAGTGTGTTTGTTTCATCCCAGCTAAAACTTAACACATGCTTTTTAAAGAGTCATTTACAGTACAAACGCAGTTTTTATTTATTAAGTACTAAGATGGGAACCTCTTCAGCTCAGCAAATAAAATTATAACATGTATTCCTTGGTCTATGCCAAGATGCCCAGGGTCTGTTGCTGCAACAGAGCAAAGCAAGTTTGGAAGAGAACTGGATGAGCCCAGGTGGATTGCGCATGGTTAGCCAGCATGTAGGGTTTGAGCCACAGTTCTCTCAGGAAGGGCCCAGATTGAACGTGTCTTCATCTTGTCTGCTACTTGCTAGTCCCACAGCCGGGGTGGTGGCATCTCAACTCCCCCCATGCCTACTCAGAACTTGAAAAGTCGTAAGTTCCGGATTCCTGGGATCCTAGATTTGGGACATCGAAACTAAAGAGCCGGTAACGCTTCCACCTGTGGTCTCCACCTGAAGAAACCCCCAGCTGTGGGAAGACAAGGGAACAATGGATCTGCTCTCTGTGCCACCAGCCACAGCACAAAGGACCCTGTGTCCTGTGTGGTGAAGATGCCCCTCTGACCCTGATTGGTGGCCTTTGTGAGATGTGGCTTTTCACCCAGTATTCATATTAGCTAAAGGACTGTATTTGTAATTATTCTTTGTCACTATTCTACTTTCACTGGAAGTTTCTTTAGTTCTTTGAAATTTAGGCCTTTTTAAATTACATTTATCTTTCCTACATAGAGCTCCCTTCAATAAATAATAAGAGCAGCTCTAACCCTGCTTTTATCCTGCTCTCAGTTTTCTCTATCTCGATGACTTATTGACATGTCCTATTCATTGTGCCCAAAATGGGAAATTGGCCTCCCTTTCCTCAAATCTGCTCCTGTTGACTTGTGTTTCAGCTGGTGGCCTCCCCATCGTCCCAGTCATGCCACTTGGAGATAAATCATAGGTCCTCTGCCTTGTTCCTCTTTCCCCCTTTCTTTCCCCATACCTGTTCAGTCTCCAGCCCTGTGACTTCCACCTTTAGATCAGGTGGAATGACATTTACCATTAACTGAGCCCTTCCGATGTGCCAGCCATTGTGCCAAGCCCTTAATACATATGAGCTTCATCTGCATTGTACAGATGAGGAAATGAGGCTTCTAAAGGAAGAGAACTGGTCCCAAGTCACACCAGTTATTGGCAGAGCCAGGCTTTAAATGCCAATTGAGTCCATGTAAGTGGGTATTGTGTATCTTTAAGACATCTAGAATCCTAGAATTCTGTACATGCCTCTCACTTCTTACCAACAACTGCTGACTTCCACTGATTGAAAGGAATACATCCCAATAAGGCAAGCATGTCATGCAAAGCCATGTGAACTTTGTAAACTTGGGGTGGATCTTTATCTTGAGGTTTGCATTACATAAGTAAAACTGTCAGTTTCCTATTTGATTAGACTGGAAAGTGTTCTGCAAATATCAGCTTTTAATTCTTATTATAAAGAATTGATTCAGGCAGGAAGAAAGATCAGATGCAGTGGGACTTTCAGAGTGGTTAATTGTTTGAAGTGAGCAATTGCTTTTGAGGAAATTAGGCACCATTTTTAAACTGCACTGATTTATCTTTGTTGAGGAAAATATGCATATTAAGATTTCAGGAAGGGGCACCCGGGTGGCGCAGTCGGTTAAGCGTCTGACTCTTGGTTTCGGCTCAGATGGTGATCTCAGCGTCGTGAGATCGAGCCCCAGGTCAGGCTCCCCACTCAGTGGAGTCTGCTTGAGATTCTCTCTCCCTCACCCTCTGCCCCCCACCCTGCCTAAAAATAAACAAATACATCTGAATAAAAAAGATTTCAGGCATTCTAACTCAGACTAGTATGCGAGTAAGTAGAACAGTGTTGTCTGGTTTGTACTGTCTTGGAGGAACAGTTGGAGGCCTTGAGACTCACCTTCCTTCCCTGCCCCTGCCCCAGGCAGCTTGTGTCAATGTGTCTATTTTCACACCTATCAAAGGAGAAGGAGACAGAATAGAGCAGTCATTTCCCTTGGGGCTGTAGGCTTTCTTCTGTCCTATGAACTTAATGTGCTCTATCATCTGCATCCCTGAGAGCCAGCTTCCTTAAACATCTTCACAGTGAATCCAGGTATGGGGCACCAGGAAACACTGTAAACTTGTGGGCTTTTAAAAAATAACATAAGTAATGTATTGTAAGAAAAAAACAAAATAAAGCCAACAATTAATCCTTGGGATCTCAATTTTAAAAACTCCCTTCTGGAAGCTTTTATGACCCACTAGTCTGGGAAGTATTCATTTTACAATCCTCCGTAGCGTATCCAGTGACCCAGTCAACGCACATCTTACACTCTATGGTTCCTGTTGCTTTTCTTCTTCTTTTTTTTTTAAATTCTGAATTA